ACGCAACCTTTCCCAACCGAACGCGTTCGTTTCATCTTTTCTCCGGAGACCGACGCGATCGCGTTTCGGTTTCCCACGGAACCTTGCGTAGGGAGAAAACGTTAGGACGGGCATCGACGCGACCGAACCTCGAGATTTACGAGCGCGGCTTCGCGAGCTTCGGATTCTCCGCGTTCTATCGACGGACGATTCTCCGGGTACGAATTACGGTAGCACGCTACAACAGCCGCTCGTCCCTCCGTCCCGCGGTGGCCGAATAAAAGGCCGCGTCGCGTCCCTACGACCCGTAACTGTTCCCTCGAGCGAGTTCACCGGGATCGGTTCGAGCGTTCCTCGGTCAGGCTTTCTTCGGATCGGTGCGCGTACTCGACCGAAAATCGTCCGTTCCTTTGTACCGAACGAGTCCCGCTCTCGTATCCTCGTTCGACGTCTTTCGGTTGTCACGGAATCGGACGTGGCACGGCCATTGAAACTCGAGATCCTTCGCGAGACCGTCTATTCAAAGCATCCTGTCGTTCTCTCTTTCTCTTTCTTTCCTCGTCCCCGTCTCCCTATTGCCGGCGACTCTAGGCTAAAGCGTCTTATGAAAAGGAGCGAGGGTCGAGGCGATCCGAGGATCGAGAAGAAAGAGCCTAGGTCCTTTCGGGCCTCGCGCGGCATTCGGTTTATTCGTTCGGACGTTTGCCGCGAGCCAAACTCCTACAGTCGTCTACCTGCGTCGGAATAAGCGCACGGACGCGCGAAAATTTTCGTCCGCGGCGTTGAAAAGCGACCGCGCGGTTGATCTCTGCGAAAGAAAGCGTCGTTTCTCGTTTAGAAAGCTCGCGAGACGAAGCAGCAGGGAGAGCGGAGCAAACGGAAACTGCGCTGCATTCGACGAGATTTTGGCATTCGCTTTGGAAAAACGAGCTAGCGAACGTACGTACGCCGTACGGTGACGCACGGGGAAACTCCTGTTCCTCGTCGGTTGGCCGGCGAACCGCGAGGTTTACGAGTCGCGAGGAAATTGCGAGCCTCGATCGGATAAATATAACCGGCGCAAATTCTCGACGAGCAAACGCGAACTCGTAACCGTAACCGCTCGACCTCGCGTTCTTCGCCGCGATCGACCCCTCTCTTTCCTGCCTTCCAGATTATTCGTTTTTCGGGACGCTCCCGCCCCGCGAACCACCCGCGAGAAAAGCACGCGGACGAGGGTGAAGCGACGAATCGATATCTCGAGGAACGAAGGGGAGATAAATCTCGGATCCGAGCCTCGCTCGCTTTCCCTCGCGAAAGGGGCGGCACGCGGTCGAAACCCTTCCGTTACCGGTCGTCCCGATGAAAATTCGTTCGCTCTATCGCTCGTTCGCTCGAATCTCGCTTGGATGACCTACTTTTCAAACACGTGGCGTTTTACGATCCTCCTCGGTGGCTCGAAAAAACGTGCCCGCCTCGACGCTACGATGCCTCTGAAAGAGCTCCGAGCCTCGGGGAACACAGGGGTACCATTGTACTCGAATGGCAGCTGCGTCGCAACCATTTAAACGCGGCTTTATTTAGCGATACCGAACAGCGAGAACGAAGAGGCCGAAGGCGAAAGCGAGGGAGGAGACGAATCCGACGACGACGACGACGAGTCTTTACCCGATGTTCTCTCGCGTCCCCAAAATTTTCCCCCTTTCGTCGTTGGTTTTTCTCCACGGATCGATCGTCGACGTGCTTCTTTCCGCGAAGTCTACCGTTTCGGAACAAGCCGGACCGATTAACGCGCGACGAGACTTAT